CCCAACAGTCATGATAATTCTTAATGTATATCCAAATAATTTTAACTATATTTTTGTTTATGTGTTCCGCTATATTCGATCGCAGCCGATATTGTACTATTTTCAGATGGCGTATGCCAAGTTCTGTGCAAAGATTTTCAAATAACTGACGTACAAATTGTTTTCCATTATCAAATATTACTTTTAATGTGGCCCAGTGTTTTGAGATATATTTATTTAAAAACAAATCTGACATTATTTTTGCTGATGCACTATTTCCACCCATTTTGAAAAATGGTTAACAATAGTTAAGAGAGATCTGTTCTTATTTAGCCTTGTTCTGAGGTAAGGTCGGAGCAAATTGATGCCCATCAACTCATTGGAGAAAGTGGTTTTTATGTTATGTAAGTACCCAGCTTGGTTATAATTAACATTGTTAATTGGCACATATGGCATGACCTGATATATGCTATCACGATTTTCTGTAACTGTGGGAAAAAAGCTTTGCGGACCCTTTGGAATATTTTCCTAATACCAAGATGGCCTGATATAAGTAAATCATGCATCTCTTCTGGAATATTTAACTATAGACCCGCTGGGCTCATTGGCCGGTACTCTTGATTATCGTTAGTAAATTTTGTGTAAAATAGCAATTTATCAATGATTTCATAGTGGGCTGCCCTGTTTCTGATTCCAATAATGTCCACATGCTCAATATGTTTGGGGTTTTCGAGATACACATATGTAAAAACAAATTCAAAAGAATTCAGGGTCCATCTTCAATTCTGCAGTGATTTTTTTTTTTTTTTCAGGACTCTATTATTTTCAAGGTTAATATCATTCATCTGATGGTATTTCCCTCTTTGTGAATCTTAATTCTTAAAAGGGCATCTGCGACAACATTTTCCTTCTCCGGCATGTGTTTTATTGTTAGATTGTACTCCTGCAGCTTTAACGTCCAGCGTATAAGCTGAGTGAAAGATTTTTTCCGGAATACAAGCAACCAACTGCCGGGGCGCTATCACCGGGTTGCTTCTAGGATAAACTCGAAATTTCTACACTGGTGCTAAGAAGCAATAGTTTCTCTTTCTGCAGTGGTTTAATTTTGTTGAGTCTGATTCAAAGTTTTACTGAAGTAGGCAATTGGCTGCCCTTCTAAATTTTGGTCCCCTTCAAGAAATTTGCATACTGGTCCAGTTTTCACCTCAGCCCTCCTCATGAAACAAGTTTTTTTTCTTCATTTGAGAACCAGGAAGAGTTCAATTATCTTTGTGAAATCCTTTATACGTAATCTCTAATATGAGCACATTCCTAAAAAGGATGCTAATTTTTGGCTGTGTTAGAAAGGTGGCTAACTCTTGGTTACTAAGATTTTAGAACTATCTGTTTCTATGCCTTTTTTTTTTTTTTTAATTTTATGTTCGAGGTATCCAAGTTCCTTCACCACAAATTTACATTTCTTGGGATTCACCTTGAGGCCGGCTTCATTTAATAATGAAAAAACTTCTTTTAAATGCTCTATGTGCTCATCGATAGTGTCACTTGTAATTATGGTATCATCTAAATAGATGTACTTTTGCGTTGGAGGGGTTTTTATATGATATACATTACCTTCTGAAATGTAGTCGGAGCTCTGCTTGAGCCAAATGACATTCTCCAAAAGCATACGTGCCGGATTTCTTTATAAAGGTGGTTTTCTCCTCATCTTTGAGTTTTACTGCAGTCTGAAGTATCTTGATGTCAGGTCAAGTGTTGTCGCATTATTAATGAATCATATTTTTCGGATTATCTTGTCAATTACTGGCAGGGGATATGTAGGATACTTTGTTATACTATTTCGTTTATGCTAGTCCATGGCAAACCTCCAGAAATTTGGATCTAATGGTGGGAGGCCGTTTTTCTTGCTACATAAAACTACCAGGCTTGCATAGAGGCTACTGCTCGGGATAATTATTTTATTGGCCAGCATCTCTTTAATATGCTGCTCTAAAATATTTTTTTTTAACATGGTCACACCTATATGGCTTAGACCGAACTGGGGCCCACCAGCAGCCCAGCAGTAAAGTCGCTGAACACTGGTAGTTCAGTCCGAGGTTCGAATCCCCCGAACGGGCTGGCTGCATGGGTGTTTTTGTGGTTTTCCCCATGTGTAACGTGTATACGAGCCAGTTTGCCTTAGAAAGTCCTCCACGAAGGCATCCCTTCCCTTAGGCAGATAGCCCTAGTGTGCTTTGCCATAATTAAATACACCACACCACAACACACCACACCAGACCGAACTGGGGGGGGGTGCATCACCAACACTTATCTCATGATTCACTGCTTGGGGGAATCCTGGTTTAGATTCAAGCAATTTATTAAAATTTCTTACTAAAGCTTGGATTTTTTTCTTACCCTCTTTCTGGAGGTGGTTCAATCCTGTTTCTGAAGGTGCTCCTCGTTCTTCTGCAGCCTCCATTAGAACCAATAAAGTTCTTAAAATTTAAGTTCGCACTTGCTGCATGTAAAAAATCAACCCCCCCCAAAAAAAAAAATTACGGGAGTTAACAAATCTTTTACTACAAGGAAATATATTTTCTGAGTTTCGTTTTTAATCTGTATGTGCGGCCCTATTTTCCCAACGCACATACACACTGTTTACCTCGGGGGGCAATTACTTTTACCTGTGGTTTTAAATGGTCTGTACCACAGTTAATTCTTTTAAAAAGTGTTGCAACAAAAAGCCGCACTGCGTCCCAGTGTTGAGTAAGGCTGTAGTAGACACGTTGTTTAACAAAATGTGAATTTCGGGCGAGGCAAAATTCTGTACTACTATGCTATGTCATTTTATCTCTGAGGGGTTTTTCTTCACAGTGGGTGATCTGACCCTCTTTTCAGCCACCCCTCTCTTCCATAAGAACAAATTATTTTTGTTTAAATTTTTGATTGCTTTTCATTATTAATGTATATTGGCCATAATATTTACTGTACAGATTTAAATTTTTCATAGAGTGAAAATAGAAATTTCTGTTCTTGGTTGTAATCATTCATTTATCATTGCTCAGATTCGTTTGTTTGGATTCTGGTGGTATTGTATTCTGATTCATTAGTTGGATTCTAGTGATATTTTTCATTTGCATGTGAATTAATAGTATAATTTATAGTTTAGTAAAAATGTGTTTTAAATTATTTGCTTTTGTTTTCTCCTATTAGACATAAAATAAAAGATTACGCAGCTGTTAATTGCAGCACCAAGAAAAATGCTTCATACTCAGCTTAGCAGTTGTAATTCCAGCACATGCAAAGTCAAGTTTAAAATCTGACTTACATGCAAAACAGAACCATGAAATGCAAATCTCAGTTATTTCTTATTTTAACAGCAGTATATAAGCATATACAACGCACAGCAAGACAAGATTATGAGTAGCCGTTTCATTTCATAATAGGCAAAATCGTAGATGGTTTCTTATTCCATTAAATCCAACTAACACATGAGCATGTATTATAAGTCTGTTATTTAAAATAGGAACTACAGGCTAATTTTGCATTGCCTGTTTACATTCATGACCTTCTGAATTACAGATGCAGCAGACAGTTCTTGTCGAATAATTTTTATGCACATTCTATTTCTCTTAAAGATATTTAGCATCATGAGAAGTGTGTTGAAAAGGGCTGAAATTAACTACAATGTCAAATTGGTGGAGAAAATATGTGCTGTGTAATGATAATGACAGACGTTGCAGTTGTGAATGAGGAGGGCTGGCGATGCCCTCAGAACTATGGTTGGAAGGTTAATACAATTATACATGCATGGAGACTGTGGACAGAATAAAGTTGTATGCATAAATGTGAGGGGATTGGAACATCTATAAATACCACAGAATTAGAAAATTGATGTTGGTACACTGGGAAATGATGGATCATGCAGCTGTTTCTGTAGGACTGTTACACATTAGGCTCTATATTTTAGCATTATTCATCATTCATTGCTGTATGATAGCTATATTTTGGCATATATTTTTGCTGTTTCCTCTAGCATGACACACTATAATGATGTGGAGTACAAAGAAGCTGGTATCGGGAATGGGAGCAAATCAGCTTCGCTGATGAGTGTAGATAACATCTGTGAATCCATGATGTCTGTGTCTTTTTTTGCCATTACAATAAGAAGACTGCACTGAAGACCGTCATGGTGGCTCTATTATCGATATCATTACATGAGGGGATATAATATTTCAATTATGCTCTTGCTTTTATGAATTGCAAGGGCTATGTTTAGTCAGCGCTACATTTGTGAGGTACTGCATCCAGAAATCTTATCATTGGTTTGTTCTAACAGGACAGTGTTGCTGCCTATGTGACACACATTGTTTGACATTTCTAGTGCGAGCATCAAGTATTAATTCTTTTTTGGACTGCATGGTTTGCCATTTTAATCCCACAGAATATGTGTGGGATATAATCGGTAAGAGATAGATCCATATGTCATCTTGCACCCCAGCAAAAGCTGACTGTGGATACATTTTCAATCTGTACATAATGGAATTTTATAGACAGCCATCCAAAATTTGTATTGGCCATTACCAATCCTTGTGTGATCTGTTATTAGGTGTGAAGGGAAACAAAAAGTGTATTCAATTTAACATTTTCCTTTTAACTTAGTTTGGAAATTTTAATCATTCACATCTTATATCAGGTGTATTTTCCGAAATAAATATCTTTGTTTTAACTGATGGCTTTTGTGATGTTGGAGCTTCTCTGAATAGTAGTGTTTAACTAATTTCCTCACATTTTGCTCTGATTGCATCTAATTTTTATGATGTATTTATGATATTGATTCTCATTTAGTTATATGTATGTATATGTGTATATTATATATAAGTAATTAAATGAAATGCAAATAGGTATGTTTGTGTTTTATTTAATTTTTATTTGCCCAACATTTATATTTATTTGCTTTACATGGCAACCCCCAAGTAGTTTTGTTTAACCCTACTCATGCTTTGTTGCAACTGGTATGTGAATATTAAAAAAATTTCTAGGTTTGCTGAATTGGCAGCTGTAGCTTTTCTTTTGAGGGGTTTTACAGTTCACATCTTTTCTGATATAACACCCACACCATTTGTACCTTTCACTGTAAAGACATACCAGTTGATAGCTGGAATAATGATTACAGCCAGTCACAACCCCAAGGATGATAATGGATATAAAGTAAGTTATGTTGCTCAAATTGTTCAGTTAAATTTAGTTTCAATTTTGTACCTGTTAATGAATTATCATCATTGTTAAATTACTTTAAAACTTGATTAGAAAGATAGGTAATTGATAAACAATACACAAATCATATGCAGACTGTAAATATGCATAATTTCAATAGCAGTAATTAATGCAGTAATTCTGAATATCGTATACAGTACAAAGTCCGTAATCCGGATGTCCATTATCCGGAATGATCTATAATCCGGACCTCAAAACCACAAACTTTTTTGTGTATGCTTTATGCATGCGCATAATGGGATACATTAAAAAATGCTTGGCATAATTTATGGCCAGCTACCATATTTCATGGTGAGGACGATGAAGATGATAGCCGAGAATTTGAAGGTTTTTGGACATCACAAACTAAAGGTGAAATTTTCCAGTTATTGGATTTTGTAAAGAAATGTGGAGAAGCGGTAATAAATGAAGATGATATAACAGAAGTTTTTCATTGTGACGACAGTACCCCAATCATCAATCAACAGATGGCAAAATATGTAGTATTCAGAAAATACCGCTTCCTATAGGTGGAACTTTGTAACTGAATAAGAAATTATGTCTGTTTATAGAATTAAAGAAAAAGTATTAGCACAAAAAACGGAGCAACTTAAACAACTTACATTGAAAGAAATGTTTAATAATGTAAACAAATAAATATTAGGTTTTTTTGGTGTGTAAATTTGGATACCTTTTAGATCATAATTGCTCTTTATTTCATAAATTACGGTTTCATATTTTTAATTATATAATTTCTGCATGCCATCTTGCCAGATTTAAAGTGATGATCTATAATCCGGAAAAACCCCTAATTTAGAATCGCCGAATTCCCAACGAGTCTGAATTACGGACTTTGTACTGTATTGAATCTTATGGGAAGTAAACCACATTGTACATGCTAATTTCTTTCTTAAGAAATTGAATTGACTTTTGCATTTATTAACTGAATAAAATATTTTCTTTTGGTGTATTCTATTTTATAAGTTCTTAAATTAGAACTTATGCTCATACGGCCAAGAGTATGTCAAAATCTACTCTTCCAGAAGGAAAATGGAGTATGAAAACCATGCATATGTAGTTACTTTATTCTTTACTTCTCTAACAAGCTTCAGTTTTTCTGGGAAGACTTTCAATTAGGGTTTTAAATATTAATGCTGAAAATCGCCTTTTATTCATCCATAACCAAATTAGCATAATTATATCACAGATTCTGGGTGATTTTGTAGTGGCTGGCCGTCATCTTATCTGTTTATTCCATTATGTATTGAATATAGTTAAAATTGGGGTTGTATTGAAGGCCAGCCAGGCTCTTAACTTCATTACACCAACAGGACAAAAAATATAATTAATTAATATAAAAGTAATTCACGAATATTTTAATAAGTGTAAATGTTTACTCTGCATATATGCAGAGTAACATACTAGTTGATATCTTTTTTGGCAACAGTTTTGATGTTGGATTTCTTTTTAGAATCCAATGCTTAGTTAAAAAAAGTTTTACTACTGGAGTTAAAAAATTAAGGATCTGTTAGTTGATAAAGGATAATATCAATAAAGAATAATACAGTACAAAGTCCGTAATCCGTACGTCCATTATCCGGAATGATCTATAATCTGGACCTCAAAGCCACAAACTTACGCATGTGCATAAGGCATTTATGCATGCGTGTTCAATGCACGCATGCGCGTAAAGCGTTTACCCATGCGCTCTTCCTATAGTGAAGAAAGTGGCAGAGAGGTTAATGAAAACGAAAAAATTTCGATTCACAAGTTAGTCTGTATTCTTGACACAGCAATTACAGGACTTGAACAGTGGAACTTTATAACAAGAAATTATGTCTGTTTATAGAATTAAAGAGAAAGTATTAGCACAAAAATCAAAGCAACTTAAACAACTTACATTGAAAGAAATGTTTAATAAAGTAAACAAATAAATATTAAGCTTTTTTTTTTTTGTAAATTTTCATACCCTTTAGATCATAATTGCTCTTTATTTCATAAATTACGGTTTCATATTTTTAATTGTATAATTTCTGCATGCAATCTTACCAGATTTATTTGATGATCTATAATCCGGAATCGCCGAAGTCCCGACGAGTCCAGATTACAGACTTTGTACTGTATATCCTTTATTTAAAAATAAAGGATCACTATGACAGTAGTATTCAGTATTTAGTTCAATAAAATTGCATTAAGGTAGTTTGTCTTTGTCTTCATGTTATTACGTTTTCTTAGCTGAGAACCTACAACTGGTGACGTGGAGCATTCAACTTGTGTATTTAATATGAGTACCGATAGCAAAACTGAAACAATGATGTTAATGGATGCCAAAGCAAATAAAGTGAGCGTGAAAATTCAACCATTTAGGCAAGAAAAACCACATTTGGTTTTACCAAGTCGAACTCCAAATTCAAATAAATAAAATCCCCACTGAAGAAACTAGATTCAGTTATATTATGAACTGAAGTAAACTGAAAATATTTCATCAGTTTCATGCATCCTGGAATTAGATCAATTAGAATCCTAGAATTAGATGAACAATAAAATTAATCTCCAAAATTTATTCCGTCAAATATCAAGAAAGGTGTTCAGCATCGGGGGAAATTTTGTAGTCGATGTTGAAAATCTAAAATATCCCAGCACATGAAATCAGTATTTGGCAAATATCAAAATCCCTCAGAAACATTTGGCGAAGTACAACTGCATAGCAAGGTTTGGAAAACCCTTGCATTTTATATCTGAATGAGAATCATCTGAAATATTTCAAATCTTGTCAAGAATCTATGACATTAAACTTTCACTTTCTACAAAATCACTAAAGGCTACTTTAAAAGCACATAATAATATAATTTAATTTGGAGTGAAATGTCACCAATTGTTCTCTTATGCCTTCAAACAACAATCCATGACAATACTCACTATACAATAGCAGGCAGAGATGACATATGAAGAAAGTATTAAACTTTCTGGAGAATTTTTTGAAGCAAAAGTAAACCATACACCGCCAGGAACTTTTCTAAATTAGTTACAAAAGTAGATGGAATTAATCTTATTGAAGGAACCTCAACATATAGGTATTTCTCAATTATTTGTACATAAAGATTTTTATCAATCTGTCCCATTTTTCTTTGCATTGACAGATTTCAGAAGCAACTCGGATCTCCATGTGAAGGTCCACATTCTGTTATGAGTCGTTCATCAAAATTACAAAAGGAATCTACTAGGCAGTTTTTCTCATTCATTGGGGGGGGATGCTTTTCATCAAACCATTTCTCTAATAATGAGAGTATCGGAAAAGCAATGTAAAGAAAATTATATGATAATAGAGAAAATACTAATGGACATTATATTTGAGATAAGCATGCTAGTTAAAGGTAGAAAAACTTACATAGCCATCTATTTCAGTAGTTAGAATTGAGAAATGCTCAGTGTAGACCTTGTGTTTACATTTTGCTCACTATATTTCATTCGAGCTGATTGAAAATCTGGAAACATCTTTCTGTTTGATAGTTATATTAAAACATGCTGTAAATTTTCAAATGAAAGAGAGTGTACTATACTATTATTTTCTCAATAACACAGTACTGCAATTATATTTTTTTCCATCTTTAAATATCTGTATTTAGTTTGGGAATGACCTATGAAATTGGCATAAATGGATTGTTGAAAAATGGAATATTCGGTCTTCTTCAAGACTTGTCTCATTGTTGCCTTTTGTTTCTCATATGAAAAGTTTATTTTAAATATTAGTTTATGTATTGTGTAAATAAAATTGTTTTAAGTATGCCTTTATTTTGAAATGGTGTATCTCAAATTTGTCGTGCTTTTCCACAGGTTTATTGGTACAATGGAGCTCAGGTACTATTTTGTTTTATTTTTAATACAATTCTCTTATCAAGATCTGCAAAACTTCTTTTTTAATTTGGTAATTACTTTTATTTTTTAGATTAATTCTCCACAGGATAAACGTATACAAGAGGAAATTGAGAAGCATAAAAAACCAATACCAGGTTCTACTGATACTTCTTTAGTCTGGACCTCGTATTCTTGTAGGGACCCTTTGGCAGAAATTACTCAGATGTATTTTGGTGAATTAATCCCTTTTCCGTCTGAGTAAGTTAAAATAAATATTTTACTTTTGTAGTTTCAAGTTGTATGTGGAATTATATTTCAGTAAGAATATTATTTGCAAGCATTTATTGTGTTCTGTGAAATAAAGATCTTTTGTGTCAATTAGGGGGGGGGTGCAGTTGGAGCGACAGGCCATACAGTTTAATTATGGTATAGGTAATAATGTCATGCAAAAATTAATACCAGTTATAGGAATTTGGAACAGAGTTTTACACATACATTCCAAGGCAGGTTTGCCATAAATTTGACAGCAGAAGTATTTATGGTCATGTAGTTGACTGCATGAATGATAAAGATGGGTGTTAGCAACATATTTTATATTCTTGTTTATTTAAAACCTGAACGTATATGTACAGTGCCTAATGTTACTGCAATAAATGATTCAAGCTGTATATACATCCACCATCTACTAAATTCATCCTCGGATCAAGATACAAAGAAACCAGTTTGGATAAAATCAGGTAGCTTCTTAATATAGTTGCTGAGAGTACTTTTTTTAAATCCTGCTACATATACAAAGTTTTGCATCAGATTAAAAAAAAAAAGAAAAAGGGCTCTAATGTTATAAAAGATGAGATATTAGCACTAAATAAAAATGAGGTTTAGAATCTTGTAAAAATATCAGCAATGCTAAAATCATTTACTGCTGATTGGTCTTAATATGAGTGTCCAATCCAGACAGCACAATGCAAAGATACCAAGCAAGGTAATTAGTCAAAGAGGGTACTGTGATGAATTACAACCTGTTTTAAATGTCGAATGTGGGGCAATTTGCTGTTAGGAAGGGTGGTCATAATATTGTTGCATTTTATACGGGTTCACGGATTTGGAGTGATTGACGACAACACTTGATGAAAAATCGAAACGTGGTTTATTTAGCCAGTATTACTCAGGACAGCTTCAGAAACATGTTTACAGTTGTTAAAAACAACTATAAACATGCTGAAACAATCAGCAACACAAAACAACTATAAACATGCTGAAACAATCAGCAACACAGCCTTCAGGCTATAATGGTGAAGACAGCTTCATGGCAAAGCAGTAGAGTACAGCTCCCAACTTGGTTAAGTCGTTCTCGGAACTCAGCGTACTCTTGAGGCTCTCCATGCTACAACTCGCGACACACTCGACAGCCTCAATGATGCACACTCACATTACGCTTAATGGCGAACTCAACGCTGGACTACAAGACACTGGTGATGCCCTAATTTGAGATATGCCACTAGACTGATGATTAACTCGATAGACTGCTGCTCGTACATAAAGGGTTTTTATAGCTTTAGCCTGCCTTGAAAACATTCTTGATCAAACTGATGAGAATTCATTCTAGAATGTCCTCAGTTTATGGGGTATTGCCAATTTTGGCACCAAATAGGCGATTTTGCACCAAATATAGCAACCCTGCATTCCCTTGTCATTTTCTAGCAACCCTAAATCTGCTTTGCCGAGAAGCTATTTTACCACAGCTGGACATTTCATAACAATATTTTGGCCGATCGCTGCAATTCAGATTTCTAGTGTGTTATAAATAGTTAAAAGTATGTGAATAATTTTAATTGAATATATATTTAAATTTTAATTGCTGTAATTGTGTTAACTTTGTTTTGAATATTTTCACTGTTTATGTTTTGTTGCATTGGTGATGTTAAATTAAGTTATTCATGCACCAAAATGTGCACTTGCATTATCTACCTTCATTGTTTTTGTTTTTAGTTATTTTTTTAAAGTCATTTCTTACTTTCTTTTTTCTAACATTTAAATAAACTTGAGTCAATAATTTTAAAGACAACATTTTGGAAAGACAGCAGTTCCTCAAATTGCTAATTTCTTACTTCTAATCTATATCTTTTGTTTAATTACTGTTCTTTTATCAGTATTTAATCATTTACATAGGATATGAAATGTAAGCTGATATTGTGTGTCATTTTCCAGTGTATATATTTGAGATCACTAATTTCTGATTTTGAATACTTTTTTTTTTTTTACATTTTGAAAAAATTTACTGAACTAAAATAGAAATTTTAAAATAATTTTTTTCAGTTATTGCATATTTCTCATGTAATCATTGAATTTAATGACATTGCTTTTTATTGCCCGTGAGAAATACTGAATTATTTACATACATATGTATAATTATGGGGGAACAAATCAATTATGTCTTCAGATTAATGTGATGGAACAAATAATAATATATATGTTCATTCAGACCTTGAGCGAATTCTAAGATTTTTTTATTTGTTTTTTTATTTTTTAGATGTTTAGTGAATTTTGGATTACTAGATGCAGGAGAAGCTGCTGAGTGGAATTAAGACTGAACTAATTATTTGTCTGTAATGTTATTGCATTTTATATTTTATTTTATTTTAGGGATCTTCGAAGTTGCAAAACCAAAATAACTTTCACTGCTTTGCATGGAGTTGCTCACTCATATATGAAAAAGGCTTTCCAGTACTTTAGATATGAAAATTTTATTCCAGTGCAAGAACAAATGAGGCCTGATCCAGATTTTCCAACTGTCAAGTTTCCTAACCCAGAAGAAAAGAATTGTTTGGTATGTTTGAACTGCCTGTATTTATGAAGCTGTAGCAAATTTTACTTGTGCAGAATATGCTAAATTTTTATTATTCCTGTATTTATGTGTGGATTATAAATGTGTAAGCCAATATATGTAATTATAACAGTCATTGTACAGATGTTTCATTTTTTATCCTTAAGGGTAAAAGCAGTTCCAGGATCATGTTGAAAAAATGTTTCAAACTTCTGCACAGTTTGTTCGGTTTATTACATGTTTCAGTGGTATGTTGCGGGGTAGGGGCTAGTTTTTTAATTTTTTAAATACTGTGGGAGGAAAATTTTTATTATTTGAAATTCAAAATATTCTTTATGTTTACACTTTTTTTAATTGTAATGTAAAAAATAATTATTTATTTTGGAATGATAGTAATTTACTGTGCCAGTAATCTTCTGGCAGAGAGGATTTAAGTTTCCATTTCATTTATACTTAACATTTCTCACTTTTTTGTTTAGAGTTCATAATTTTGCTTAACTTGAATTTGCTTGTTTTCCAATGTGAAATATGATGAATACCAATGTAAAGTGCTAATCTTTGCTAGTGTGCCTTCCATAGAAAAAATATATATAAAAGTCAAAGCATTCAATTGTGCTGCTCTAAGAAAAGCTTTTCATGAATTGTATATTGCATTAAAAGCAACATTCGGAAAGTATTTCTGAAATTTTTATCATCATGTTACTATGCCTTTACAATTCATATGCCTTGCTAAATGTCACCACTAGTTATACTACTATGCCTTTATAATTCGTGGGATTTGACTAAATGTCACCACTGCACAATTTCATGGTATTCATTCTAAAGTCAAAGGAGCATATATAGATTTTTCAGTAGATCTTTCATACCCCAGCATTGCAAACGTGTCGCATTCTAACAACCTCAATGTCGCAGTAACGTTGTAGGAATGGCTTATTGTCCGCTTTTTGCAATGTCGCATTGCGACGTTGATGTGAAGTCAGACTGGGACTTTGATGTGAAGTCACATTGTGACATTGCTGGGAAGTCAAGCTGCGACTTTGTTGTGAAGTTACACTGTAATATTGTTGGGAAGTCACACTGCTACATTCATGTAACAACTCATTTCTACTTAATATAAAGCCGTAGAGTGACATGAATGCAGCATAATAAAGTGCCATGAATATAATGTCACTAAACATGTAAATGGATGCCATGCAACGTTGAATTGCTAAATGATTAGAGTGATGAACTGTTTTAGAGAACAGGTAATTACAACAATGTTTTAATGATCCAGTAAGGTATTATATTTTTCAAGGTATTAAAATACTTCTGTAATATTCGAAATTTTTAAATAATAGAAAATATCCAATATAACCATTTGAAATTTTTTCATCTTACTGAGGTTGTATCTCGCCCTATTAAGGTTATATAACTGTAATCAATTTATGTTTATTACATATCTGTATAAACTAGAGTGTACAGAAAATGCAGAACGTGTTACAATATATATGATGCAAAAGTTATCATATGGTCATTTTCTAACCGTATTACATTGCTTTTGAATATAAGCTGTCCAGAAGCTACATAGTTTGCTTTCATTCTTTACAATTTAATATTTAAAGATGGTTCATATTTATCCAAAATTTCTAAATTGTATTAAAAATTTGAGTTCTTATTAGAACTTATTAAAAATTTAATTTTATTTCTTAATTTAACACCTTCTTCCCCTCTCTATCAAAATAGAATTATTTCAAAAAAAATATTCTTTGGCTTGCAGTGTTTATAATAAGTATATTTCTTATAATAATAACTATATTTCTTAGTACCTTTTTCCCACTCATTCTAAACAGAAATACTGAAAAAAAAAAAAAGAAAAAAAAAGAGCTATTTGGCTTGGAATATTTTTTTTTAACAGTTTAGCTTTTAATACTGTTTTCTCTTCTCCATTTCTTTCTTCCTTAATTGCTTTCCTTCCAGAAAAAGAGCTAAATTATTTTGATAACTGGATGAAAGAAAAACCATTTTAGTACTATATTTATTGGAAATTAACATATTTTATTATCTTGTTATATAACGAAATGTTTTGTTTTGAATTGAAAGATTTTATAAATCAACAATATCATAGACTCCAAATTAGTTAACTACAATCTTCGTTTCCAAATTAGCGATTTGTTGTTTAATCTATAATACTGAACAAAGTTATGGGTACAAAAGTAAGTAGCTGGGAAATGTGGTTATAGAAACTAAATTACAGGAAATAAATATTTATTGTTAGTTATATTAGTTATACAAAACGGGCATTCTCTTTATTACTCCATTGACCATTATTACTCCATTGACAAATTACAATTTTATGAGATTTTTAAGCTATAAATTTAAAATAACTGTCTTACACTGCATATCTTCAATATACTTAAATAACTGTATTATGGTACAAATATCGTATAATTTGTTTCATTTGATGATTAATGTGAATCATTTGTTTTAAATATTTCAGCATTTCCTAAATGTATTTTTCCGTTCTCTTAACAAATAGAATTATGCAAAAGCGTAACAAATTTGCATGAATTAATTATTCCAGTTCACAAGACAATTATTGTTACCAAAGCTGACTTACGAAAAATCTGTGTTACTCACTTCTGAGAATATACAGTATACTATGACCTTCACAACAATGCTTAAATACTATTCGTAGCTCATATGGTAAACTGAATGAAACTCGGCTGTTTATGCGTTAAAATACACAAGCTCTTTTATTTAATCAACACATACGGGGAGTAGACACTTATTGTACACTGACTTGAATGATAGTAGAAATGCATAGATTTTAGCAATGATGTTATAATTTTTTTCACTAGATGGGAATTAAAGAAACACTTTCCTTAGTATACTTTTAATTGAAGAGAAATAGATTATTTTATTTCTTTAATATAACAAAATGAAAACACAATGTGAAATGAAATATGAAAACACATTTATGCCTTTCATTTTAGAAACTACGCAATTAAAACTGAATTTCAATTATGTACTTAAGTTCAAATTGAAATTGGCTGTATTTATGAAAATAAAAGTAGTTCCACTACTTAATTTTGTAGGAATAACTTTATAACTTTTGTTAAAATTAAAAAAACAATGAAAATATAAAAACTCCCCCGCTTACATTAAAAGAAATATTTGTTTGTTCCACAGTAAAATGCAGCGCAATTATACGGAGTTTTCAGGACCTTCGATTGACTCTCCAGGAATTCGTTTTCTGTTATGAAATTTCCAAATTTATTTGCTTATTTAAATGCGGCAAAGAACTGAAATCTGTCCCAATAAAAAGAATTCCATGAAGTTATATTATACCTTAAAATCAGTTTTTTACTCCTGTTTGGCAAAGGCTTTACTTTAATTATCAGTGTTTTATAATATGCGAATTTCCAAGTTATCACAATGAAATTTTTAAATTCTTCTGTGAAAGATTCCTTTCTTAATTTTTCTAAGCTTTTTACATATGATTGCAATCAATGTCTATTTCTGCAAATGGTACATTAAAGCAAAACTAGATATAAGCTTAGGTAATTAAATTAGACATAATTAGAGGGTTAGATGTAATTTTTAAGTTTATAATAATAAAATAAAATATCTTGTTTGCAGAAGTGAAAATATATTAATTTAAAATAAAATTATTATTTTGAATAAAGTTTATCAGTAAAGCTTAAATATACATTTCGATTTATAGTAATTATGGGATTATTAACACATAAAATCCTTTATATTCTTTGATGCTAATGCATTTTCATTGATTCTTGGGTGATTACATGCATAGGATCTATCCATTGCTACTGCTGATAAACATGGCAGCACACTGATCTTTGCAAATGACCCTGATGCAGATCGACTTGCTGTAGCTGAAAAACTCAATAAGTAAGCTTATTTTTTATCTGATGCCTAAAGCAAATTTCTCTTGCATTTGTGGTGCACAGACTTTATTATTATTTTCTTATTTTCAGTGGCGAGTGGTACATTTACTCAGGAAATGAAATAGGTGCAATGCTAGGATCATGGTTATGGGACAAAGCTTATAAAGATTTACCTGTACATTCTGGGACACAGAAAAGAGTTGGAAGAGGTATTTTATGTTCCGCATTAAAAATTTCATGCTTGAAAATTTGGATGCCAGTTATATTGTGTTGTAATCTTTAAGATATAGGAACTAAAAGGTATGTTTTTTGAGGAATTGATAAGTTCATTAAAATATGAAGCATTCTGTTAGATTTTTTTCCCCTATGAATACCTTTTTTTTTTTTTTTTTTTTGTTCATTCGGTCGATCAGTTATCAATCAATCGATCCCAACACCAAAAAGAGAGACCTAAAGAAACCAAAATTTAGGTGGCTTAATAATATCCCTTTTAGCCTTAGCCAACCAGCTAGCTCCCTTCTCATTGACAGCGGAGAAGGGCATTTGAATTAATGTGACTGGAGTTAAGCCTTGTATAAAATATTTTGAAATGTATGTACTGTTCTAAAGTGCTGAACTAGATGTTGTATCTATTATTGTATATAAAGAATGTGAGATTGGATCTGAAATTATAAAAAAGGAATTTTCAAGTTTGGTGTAATTTAGTCTCCCTACATATCATCACAGGTGGCATGTCTGTGCTATATTTGAAAGATTATATATAAACAAATTTTAAAAGGAATGGGGCAAGATTTGTACATTGTGCATAGTTGTGAATGCTAAGAGAACATCATTGCAAAAAGACTAGGGTCAAGAAGGATGTTTTTTGATAAAGAATAGAAAGAACAACACAGTCCTTAAGATAGCCCATTATGAACTATGTGGTATCTAGGTTTTAGCATATGTGGAAGATGCCCTTGTTCTTTTGTGGTTGATGCAGTGCTGTTCAGCTTTGATAATCTAAGGGTGTATGGCACTTTTGCCTACATTTAGCTTATGTTACTTTAGCAGCTTCTTAAAAACTTGAAAGTTACATGGTCCACATAGGTAAAAAACCTTCAATTCCTAATGGTCTCATTCAAAACCAAAGGATTTCTTACTGGCACGTATTATAATATTTGCTATCGGTTTCAAAAATACAGTGAATGCGCAGAAAACAAACATTAGCACATGCTGAGAATTGATAATATTAGATACACTATAATCATAAGCAATTTTTTATGATTTTGGTTGTAATCCCACAAAATATCAGTTGCAAGACTTGAAATTCATAGTAGACAGCCACAATGGAGTACATAAAGGAGAAGAAAGTATAGTAACAAAAACATGACTAGGACATATATAGTATGGAATAAGTAGGAAAAGGCTTGGTTAGTGTAGAGAGAAGGGTACCCCTTATATGATCATGAAGTTGTTGTTTCATTTATCACCAAGTTGTTTCATTTATTGCCAAGATGTTTCATTTATTGCCAAGATGTTGTTTCATTTATTGCCAAGATGTTTCATTTATTGCCAAGATGTTGTTTCATTTATAGTAGCATGGGTAGTTGAATGTTATGGAAACCCTAATATGACGTAATCAATTGCATGATTGCTGTAAATTCATAAGGGCTTGTGTGTGTTTGTTGGTTAGGAAGTATATTGTTTGTTTTGTGGTTTACATGGTAAAATGGCTGAATGTGGTAAGATTAATTTGAAGTTTCTGCGCAATTTGGAAAGAAAGGGAAAAAGAGCATTACTTGACTGGTGTGTAAATTAAGTTTTACTTAGTAGCCAGTATTAAGTGTCCTGTTTGTAGGAAGGAAATGCGTACGGTCGAACATCAGACGATAAACGGCGCTACGAAGGATATTTTTCTCTCTTTATTTTGTGAAATTATGTGGTGAGACCAGTATACAGATTTTAGTTCAGATAATTTTAGGAAGTTTTTGGATGCTGTTAAGGAATTTTGTTTGACTGAAGACATATTAATTCGTAAGTAAGGTAAATGGATATTTCCTTTGTCTATTGCAAATATGAATTTCTTTTTTTATGTTATTTCATTGTTTCATTTAAAATGTAGTTTATGGAGATTATATATATATATTTTTTGTTGGCTGCTCCTTTGACTTTTTAAGTGAATATAGTTCGATGTGTACATGGGCAAAGTCAAGGGAGTGCACAGTGCCTAATTTGTGCAATTCTCTGATGATTTTTGAAGTAAAAATAGGTCATTTGTGTACATGGGTACCGAGTTTGTACAATTCTTTGTCTTGTTACTTTCGCTACACAAGCCAAAATAACAAGTCAAAGAATTGCACAAACTCGGTATCCATTTACCGCCAAAATCGCCAGTTTTTGCCAAGGGATACCCGTAAATATATTTTTAACAAAGGCTTTATTGAGAGAATGGTGTTGGTCCAAAAAACTGTCTGGCCAAGAGGGAAAACAACAAATCAAAGCTTGGTAAGGGACATGTCCTTTCCTAGTAGTTGATGTGTTGCATTGTCCATCAATACTCAACACCAAAGTATCTAAGATTTCCCATTCTTCAAAAAGCATCTGTTTCAATTGTTTGGTGTTTTGCAGAGGGTAAGATCATGCTGCCTGGTGCCTGCCTCAAATTATCCCACACATGTTCAATGGGATTTAAATTAGGGGAGCACACTGGCCAATCCATTCTGTAGATATCGTCACTTTCCAGGAGCTCTTCAACAGCGTGAATCCTGTGTGGCCATGCATTGTCATCCATAAAAACTAAGGCATATAAACTTTTTACAACTTTTTGTTAATTTTTCTTTGTACTTTCATGCCACACATTTATTCTACAATTAAATGTCTTCCCCCGTGTTGTCCAGAGGAATAGAAGTATAAAAGTGAAAACAGTGTTCTTTGTACGTGTCTTTACAGACTACCAACTAACCACAATCTACGTGTTATTAGAATTTCATGAGAGTTCAAGGACACACAAAGCCCACCAGCGGCCGAGCGGTAAAGATGCTGAACACTGGTAGTTCGGTCTGAGGTTCAAATCCCGCGAACGGGCTGGCTGCATCGGCGTTTTCGTGGTTTTCCCCATGTGTAACATGTATACGAGCCAGTTTCTCTTAGAAAGTCCTCCACAAAAGGCATCCCTCCCTTTAGGCAGATAGCCCTCGTGTGCTTTGCCGTAATTAAATACACCAACACCAAGGACACACAAGACCTCAAGGACTCCATATTTACAAAACTGCACCTAATGTACTAAAGAGAGCATGATTTAACTGTAAGTTTTGGCTGGAGTGCCTAACTTACTCATGTACTCAACTTGATTTGCTTTTAAGCTTTTCAATTTGCAAGTTTCAATCACATTTCATTCAACAGTTCTTGTAACTAGGAAAGTGTTTTATTTTTTTTAACCAAATATGTGTATGCGAATACTTTTCACTATAAAATAAAATGCATTGAATAACTATTTGCAATAGAATTCAGCTTGTACTTTACATCGAGATTCACAAGTTGTTTTGAATTTCTTAACATTTGCACTCAAGTTTCCTGATAAGAGTCTTTTGGACTAAAATTGTATTCTTATTTCATGATTACATTGACGTAAACACAGAAAAGTACAATATAACTTTATAGCCCTTTTGCTCGTTGAAAGAACTAGAATAACCTCACTTGAGGTGAAACTTAAATGAATTTAGCAACTAGTCATTCTAGATAAAATATAAAACTGAACTTTACAAATGTGAAAATAAAATTGAATTATTTTCTCAATAGTTGATTGCTTGTCCATCCGTTTTTTCACGAACTCATTCCAGCTGGGATAGCCCTTCGTTTGCTGGATCCTAAGCCTTTGTCGAGGTTGGTCCTCTGGTCCATCATTGAGCTTCCTCTTCCTTGCTGCCTCCATGAACCTTGGCCTTTTACTGCGAAGCTGGTGGTCTCGGATTGCTCCAGCTGTTGTTCTCGCTTTGCTGAGCTTTCTGCTGGACCTTCCCTCCTTTGTTCACGCAGTGGGCCACGCTAGGTTTTCCTTGGTGCATCTGCAGCTTGGTCGGCTGGATGTTTATTACGTAGTTGTCTTGATATGGGAACCTCTCCGAACTTTGGGGCTGCTACTAGGTTTTTTTTTTTTCTTTTTGGCATTTTCTCGTCCCTCGTAGCTCCTTTGGTAGCTGCCATCGCTTCATGGAGTCGCTGCATGTTGTTTCCTTTTGCTTTCTTGCTTCCGTTTGTTTTTTGTCCTTTCTTTGTCTGTTCTCCACTTGTCATCATTTTCCTTTTGGCTGCTGGAATATTGACTTCGGTATGATTTTGCTCAGCATTGGTGCTGCTCATGGCATCTTGATTTTTTTTTGCAAAATACTTTTAAATATTTCTATTATAGTAAAGTTTAATTTTATCCACATTTGCCTCTATTTGTTCCCTGTGTCTGCATTCTAAGTAGACTATGGCTTCTCTCTTTCGACTACATATGATCTCTGAAACTTGGGACAAAATTTGGGAACTCGCTCATCACTTGCCGATGATTGGGAGTGCTTTATTTTTAGCACTTCGTCTCCCACTTGGTAATTTTCTTCTCTCCGCCTTATGTCATAATATTTCTTTTGTTTTTCTCTTGCCCGTCTGAACATTCAACTGCTTCATCTAGTTTGTGGATATCATTTATTTGGAATTCTGCGGCTCTTTTCTGTACAAAAAATAATTTATTCAGAGTTACTAATTTTCGGCCTGAGAATAACTCAGCTGGGCTTTTCTCTGTAGTATCATATTTCACTGTTCGTAATGCATAAGCTAACTCATTGGTCCTGCTATCCCAGCACTTGCGATAATTTCCCACATAACATTGTATTATTTTCACTATGTTCTTGTTTACCCATTCTCCTGTGTTGGCCTGCGGCCGATAAGGCACCATTTTTAGGTGGTGTACGCGAAATTCTGTACATAGCCCTTCAAATATCTAGGAAACAAACTGTTTGCCATTGTCAGAAATTAATTTTAAGACATATTTATTTAAAAAAGAATCTGGTACTATTTTTGTCGAGGCTCTTCTCAGGTGAACCATCTAGAAAAATTATGTACTATTACGAGTAAATAGCGATTTTTATTTTATTTCACTTCTCAGAAATGGACTCAACAAGTTGATGCTGACCAATTCATTAGGAAATGTTGCTTTTATACAGTCAAAAGTCGTTAATCCGGACTCGTC